GCCGTGGCTGTCCAGGGAGCAGCGTCTGAGCCCGGTGCCAAGTGCAGGCCGTCAGCAGAAACAAAGGCATTTTTACACGGCGTATGTTTCTCTCGCGTGTTACTCCTTGAGTTTAGCTGATGAGCTCTAACTTACATTATTTTCTTGGCCAACGAGGCTTTACTTGTTAACAAGTAACTTTTATTACATTTTGTATGACTTTATTTTTAGTGTTATCTTATAATTTGTGATAAGAGGAGAAAACTTGATGCCTACTTGTGTTGTTCAGCCCATCGCTGGATTTTGTTAATATATTTCAACATAAAACCACACAAAAACACAATTAGGGTTTCTGTTCTGTATACGGAGCAGAACAGCATATGTTCTGTTTTTCCCTTTTTTCTGCTACAACATCTTTATTTTATTTCCCAGCAATTACCGGTGATAACATCAAATACCATCGTGAGATGCCGATCTTGTCGAACTTATATTAACCCTTTTGTATCCTTCATTGATCAACGTAGATGGAAATGCAATTTGTGCTATAGAGTTAACGACGGTGAGTTTCAGATTCTTAAAATCAATGTTTTAATACTATTTTCAACATTTTTTTGACATTTTTGTCATTAGCTGGTTTCTCTCCTCATTGCTTTATTTTATTTATTTATTTATTTTTTGAAAGAGAGAGTCTCACTCTGTTGCCCTGAGTAGAGTGCAGTGGCGTCAGCCTAATTCACAGCAACCTCAAACTCCTGGGCTCAAGTGATCCTCCTGCCTCAGTCTTCCGAGTAGCTGGGACTACAGGCGCACACCACAATGCTCAGCTAACTTTTCTATTTTTAATAGAGATGGGGTCTCGCTCTTGCTCAGGCTGGTCTCGAACTCCTGACCTTGAGTGATCCTCCTGCCTCAGCCTCCCAGAGTGCTAGGATCACAGGCGTGAGAACCACACCCGGCCTCCTCATTGCTTTGAAAACAACTTTCATGTCATTTTTAGCAGAGAGAATATAGACTAGGGCTAGGGATTCTTCATCTTGCCTGACCGATGGTATAATTGACAATGTGAGTGACAGTAGAGGGCAAAATAAAAACAACATTCGTGAAAGAAACAGCGATGCGCGTGCAGATGCGCTTATGGAGACTGTGCTTCCACCTGACGGAACGTTCACATTGTCTTTGGCTGGTGTATTTGGTTCATTCAACTCGGGCAAACCTTTGCCAGTGTGTGTGGACACAGGCAGGCGTGTGTGTCTGTCTCTTGTCCCCTTCACTCATTTCTTATGTTCCCCTATTGCTTTCAAGTTTACGTATCTGTCTGATTTTTTCCCATGTCATGAGATACTACATAGGTCACAAGTCTAAGAAGCAAGCTTATTTATGTCCTGGTTTCATCACCTGATTTCAGAACATAACTTTTTTTTATTCTTATCTTTTTTTTAAAAGAGGGCTTAAGGGATTCATTTCTATTTTTTTTATTTTTTTCAGGGATTCATTTTTACCAATAGATGTTCACAGATCTGTTGGTAAACCTTATATTGATGATAAAGGTGTTTATTTCTAGGCATGTATGTGTGTGGTTAGTTACAAGTCATGTTACTAAACTTGTATTGGATTCTGCCTCTTACCTAGTTCCTGAAGAATTCATGTATAACCCCCTCACCCGATCTTACGGAGAACCTCACAAACGACCGGAAGTACAGAATTCCACTGTGGAGTTCATTGCTTCTTCAGATTACATGGTAACTATTCAGTGTTAAAATTAGTTGTGGGACACAATTGTGTTGGTCATCTATAATCGTGTTTAGCGAATTCCTATCCAGATTTCGAAGTTGTCTATAGTATTAATTTTTAAAAATAGTACTGAAAGTTGATATTTACCAATAGAAAACTCTTTCTAAAGATTATTTGATCTCCTAGAAGAATCTCCTTCATCATTAAGAAATGTTAATCATGTTTTATGATGAGCACCAGCATCTGTAATTTTGTCATTTTGATTTGATTATTTGCGTAGAATGGATATGGATATTCTTTTACCATTTAACATTTAAGACCCTCAAGACAGAAAAATGTCCATTTTTGCCAAAAACTTAAGTTCCCAAGGTCTAAAGATATCACCGTCTTACTAGTTCACCCAGTGTAGATATCAAGATAAATGGATATTGACTTCATTCTAATTTTTCTTCTTGATTTTTCTTTGTTTCAATCGTAAAATTCTACCAATTCTTCAGTTATATTGACTCTAAGATTTCATTCTTTTTTCCACTTACAAAAATGAATTCTCAGCCCAAGTTCTGCCCGTCTTCTTTATTGTATGTTCTCATTTTTAATGTATTTATTATAACTATGTTTCTTCCATGTCCTCATTTCTGATCCTTGTTTGCAAAAATGCTCCTAGTAAAAAAAGGTGAACAGAGCAACTAATATGCACTGAGTTCCTGGTACTTAATCCATCTTTATTTTGTAATTTTTATGGCCTTTTGTGTCTAATTTCATTTATGTCCACTTAACTACTATTTTCATGTGTTTCCATATTAACTGTAATAACCTTTCTTTTGATCACTTTTACTCTCAACTTCTTACCTTCCTTATAACATTATGTTCCCAACTCTGTTCTGGCCACTTAGGAATCTTAATCTAATTGAAGTGGTGAAGCAAGAAATAACCTTTAATTTTTGCCAAATGATTCCTATGACTCTT